TCAAAAACCGGCTCTAAAGTTTCAAGGAAAATCAAGGCGCGGATTTTACCAATTTTCTACTAGCGCCTAAGTTAAACGCCAAGTTAGGCCATTTCAGAATTAATTCGCAAACATCTAAGCCGATCTGACATTTGGTACAAAAATAGTCAAATAATAAAACAGCTGAAATAGAGACAAATGGGTCAAGGAAAAGTTTTTTGTTCCACTTGAGAAATCAAGAATACATTTTTAAAGTAAAGGTCAATCGTTTTTTACTGCATTTGCGCTTCTGGTATTGGCGAACATAATTTGTATTTTTTTAAGCAAATAAAATTTTATTGAACTCAAAAAATAAATAAACAAGCCAGGAAAACTTCCTAAGTCAGCGTTATTAACCTAGAAACTTTTCTCCGAGTAAAAAACAAACAGAAAACTCCACGAACTAAATAAATGAAAAATAACTACGTTCGCTCAAACTTGTTTAAAAGGATTCCATCTTCAACATCTGACTTGCATTTAACTTGAGCTTATTCAAGAACAACAAAGTCATCTATCTATCTTTCAAATTATGCTCTCCTGAGGATACACGCTTTCAATACCACAGTTTCATGAAAGATTCGTACTGATTAACAAACACGGTTTAAGGATTTTTTTTTTCAATTCACTACAAATTAATGTTGTCAGTAATAAAACACATAACCCGCAGACAAATGGAAAAGAGTCAAGAAACGTGAAAAAACAAAAAAAAAACTGAATTGTTTTTAGAAAATCTTTGAATGAAAAAACAATATTTGGCCTTAAAGCCCAATGAGTTTCAAGAAAATTTTTTGATCAACACTTTTTTGTAAAATTAACTCATTTTGGGAAAAATGGGACAATCGATAACTTTTTCTTCAAAATACGCTGAAAATTTAAAACAACTTTTAAATTCTGCTCGTTAAAAATTGACTTTGCTTCCTTTTAACGAAATAATTGAACTGAAACTGAAAAAAAGTCAAACCGCGAAAAATGAGTATGAGCAATTTATATAATTTTTTCCTGAAAAAAAAAACAATCACAAAAATCACCAAGACTTATATAAGAGTATTCCTTATGCTGATGACTCTTAAAAACACCGCCCGCCAACAGACAATTACTGAAAATTCATGGAAAAACAAGGAGATTGAAAAAAGGAATGACCGATTTTTTTTGGAAATTACCGATTTTTTCCTTTAAAAAGTGTTTCGCAATCCCAGAATATTTATCATAGTTACATTTTTGATCAAGCTAACCCAAGAAGAGAAAACCGGACAAATAAGTCTTTCTTTTGCTCTGCTGGGAAAACTGAAAACTAAAATTAATTCTGAAAAATGAAACTCGATCACATTTTTCGCGGCCTTTTAGCAATTTTTTTAAAACAGAATTTAATTTCATTAAACAGAATTTATTTTCATTAAAGGCTGGAACAGCCTTTATTTTCTTTAAAGGCTGTTCCTCGCCTTTAATGAATTTTGCAAAGGAAAATCCAAAAACACGAGTTTTTTGGCTGCTGATGTTTTTAATGAATTTCTTACCTCAATTGGCGAGAAACTGAGAAATCCTGAATTTGATTACAAACAAGCGTTGGGTTATGTAGATCGCATCGAAAAATCAATGGTTTTTTATGAAATTACCCGCAAGGAAATTGAAAATGTCATATATATGTTGAAAAACAAAGGTTCAAATGGTCATGATGGCATAAATTACAAAATTATAAAATTATCGCTGCCTGTAATTTCTTTAAGAATTTGCAGCCTTTTCAACCAATGCGTTAAGAGTGGTTATTTTCCTCAAGATTTAAAAGTTGCATAAATTATTCCCCTTTTTAAGGGAGGTTTAAAAGAATCTCAGGAAAATTATAGACCTATTAGTTTACTCAGTTCACTCAGCAAAATTTTCGAAAGGATAATATTCAATAGAATGTATATCTTTGCTAACAAGCAGAAAGTTCTTTATGAAAAACAATTTGGATTTAAAAAGAAAAAGTCATGCGTGGACGCATTAATCGAATTCACCGAATTTAATAGAGAGGGATGGGACAAAAACTTGGTTGGTCAATCATGCCTTGTTGATCTCAAAAAAGTATTTGATACCATAAATCATGATCTTCTTTTGGCAAAATTGGAAAAAAACGGCTTTAGAGGCCGGATTCTTTGTCTTTTAAAAAATTATTTTACAAACCAGTTTCAATTTGTTCAAACTGATAATAAAATATTTTCTAGTCGCTCTATGTCATGTGGAGTACAGCAAGGGTCAGTTTTAGGTCCGTTTTTGTTTTTAATATATATAAATGATCTTCCGAAAATTGCTGAAGGATCTGAGGTTGTTCTATTTGGTGATGATACTACAATATGCAAGCAGAAAAAATTGTTGCGACAGTTTTGATAGTTCGTTGAATAAAGTGGATAGATGGTTCAAAACGAATGGACTTTGTGTCAATCCTGGTAAAACTCAGATAATAAAATTTGGTAATAATTTTTCAAAAGATTTCTTTGCTTTCGCTACTACAGTTCAAATTACAAATGTGTGCAAATATTTAGGCATTTTTGTTGATAAGAAACTTACTTTCAAATTTCACATTAAACATGTGTGCAAAAAAATTAACTAAATGTTTTTTCTAAACAGCAGATGCTCCGCTTCTACAAAGCATATGTAAATCCTACAATCACTTATGGAATTTTAATATACGGCAATACATCCCAATCTCACCTTACCGAGATAATGAAACTACAAAAAAGAATCTTGAGAGCAGTTTTTTTTCAAACGTAGATATGAATCAATTAAGGAAATTATGGACGAAAACAAATTGCTTACTGTTTTTGATTTATACTTTTTTTAAATGTTTAAGTACTTGTTTATGGAATTGCGATCAGTCAAAAAATATGGTTTTCTGTCTCAGATTTACTCCCAAAAAAGTGGACCATGTACCAGGATCAAAGCGGAAGGCGTAATTAAAGTGGCAAAATTTTCTACTACCGCTAAACAGAGATCGCTTACAGTTAGAATTGTGCAGGCTTTTAACTATTTAAAATAAAATGACTTGATATTTGTTAATATACATGAAATGTCAGAAGTTAGTTGTTTGAGACTCTATAAACAGATTTTTTAAATTTGCCTAAAAGACAATCAGGACCTCTACAAACTGTTTTTTAATTTCAGCCCTTAATTTAATTTGTTTGTTGAGTTGATGCTGGCTGTCTTCTCTTTACTCTCCAGGATATCCTACTCGATGAGCAGTACTGCTCTTTAGGATCTCCCTCCAGGCATAATATATTGCTTTTGGCGTTGTATATGTAGCTGGTAAAGTAATTCAAATTTCAAAGAATTTTGGTTTATAGTGCGAACAGTTTCTTCAGACTTTTTCGGAAAAAAATTAAACTTCACTGTTAAAACTAAAAAACAAGAAACTTGAATGTTTAAAAAAATTAACTATAAATCAAAGTATATCTACTTTTTTCTTTTCTGCTGCTGCCGTTTGAAACAAAATTCTATAAGAAGTTCGATTGTGTAGTCTTCAGAAGTTTTTCAGAGTTATCAGAAGACTCACTTTTTTGTAAATAACTGCAACTCAGTAAATTTTGTAGCATTTTGGAAAAAAAAGTATAATTTATTCTTAATCCTATTCTTATTTTTTCGGATGAAAGATAAATGAAAACTCATGTGTCACTTTCATGACGATCTCTAGACAATTTCTAGACGATCATGAAGACGCTTATTGTTCTTTTTTCGTTATTACTACTGTCGACTCGTATACGTGTCAGCATGAATAAAAAACAAGTTTAAAATTGTGTTGATTTCACAAATAAATCCTTAATTTGAACTCTATCCCACTGATCAACGCAAATCAAGCTTTAGACTCCTCCTGGTCAAGTATGGCAGCTGTTTCCATTGAATGTCTCCCCCATCAGGGCATATTAACTGAATTTAATTACTAGAATAGATAAATAGAACCGATTTTTCTCCAATCACATCGGTCGTTACTTTATTCAACTTTTGATGCAAGCTAAGATACTCAATTTGATAGATTTACAGCCCATAGGAGTGGCATTCACTGGAAACACCCCCAGTTAGGTGATCGGTTCTGGTCTAAAAAGGCAAAATTTTGTCGATCAAAAATTGCACACTTAAATGTAGGTTTTCATTTACAAATCGTCACAAAGACATTAAATATTTAGTTCAAATTGAAGCTAGTTTGATGATAACGATTCAGATTTACTAGCCATAAAAGCAGCATCATGATTGCTTATTCCATAATCACAGGTTATTGAAATATAATAGAGTGAGACTTTGATCTTAGATGGTTCTCATATTGGACACTCCTTGAAGAGAGAGCGTTTCCGAATATCAGATCAGCTGTTTGTGTTTTGCAATCACAAAGACAACAGATCGAAAAATAATCTTACATTCTTGAATCAAGCAAATTTGCTGCTCAGATTCCGTAATATTTTCTCTTTATGATATTCGGGAACATTTTGATACGGGAAGCCCCATTTCATAACAAAAATGATATTAAACTCATTCATCGATTTAAAATTAGGCATCAAAACATTTTTTGAAAGTAATGAAAATTTTTTATCAATTTAGGGGAGCAAAAGCAAAAACTGTTTGATACTTACAATCAACTTAAGTATCATACGGTTCAAGGGTTCTTGGTTCATTCGCAAATCGCTTAGTGATTTTAAGTTTTATAAATCAGCAATGGTTATCGTCAATTGAAAGAGTTTAACAAAAAGCGCCTAAAATTTGAATCAATGTGGTTGGTTGTTGATGTTCACGAATTAATTTTTGTTTCATCAAAAGTTATGAATCGTCGAAATTCGACAGAATTTTCTGGCCGCCAAACCTGATTTTCATTGATAGTAATTCAATGCTAATCCAGTATTATTTCAAATGAACGATTTTTCGAACTTTTTGAGATTTTATAGTTCTGCGGTACCAGATGAACATAACGTATATTGCCTAGGCGTGTTTTTATTGAACGTTGCAGGCACTTGAATTTATTATCAAGTGAAATTGGACTCGAAGAAGAACTTGACAGCCACCGTCCAAAAGAGAAGAGCCAATGGATGTGCCTGTATCATCAAACTGAAACACTTTCGCTCCACACATTCTTTGAACTAAAAAAAGACATCTGATTTTAAAAATATATACAAAAATCACAAATCTAAACTTTAACCACGACGCAACAGCGTTTTTCGTGCAAGAAAAACGCAATTCGTATCATGGGTACTATTCTTGTATATTAGAATGTATATTGCAAATTGAGAGGGGTTAAATACTTAAAAAGATGCAAGATTTCTAGCCTCTGGCACGTTTGCGTTAGTCAGTCTGCCTTGTGCGTCCGGGGCCATGTTGCAGGCTATGAATGCTTCCATGGCCGCATCTTTACCACACCTGGTTTCGATGCCATAACGCCAGTACTTTACGTGGTTCCACTCTGCCAAAACAAAAACAGCGATATACTCAGAATGCAATATTACACATGTTTCAGAACAGTGTTGAAAGGTTCTATGATCTAGAGTTTTCTAGAGGAGGGGGGGGGGGGGGGGGGGGGTAGGGATTTTCAAAAAATGTTCGAACTTTTTAGGTCGATCGAATTGATTATGCGAGCTCATACAAATCATTTTAAAGACCCTATATTGACCAAGTTTTCTGCGCCCCAGGCAAAATTTTGAACAGGCCATCAACAAAGGTAGTTTTAGGAAAATTTTTTCCTAAAAAATTGCGTTATACCCATCAAAATTAGTATATAACGGCGCCAAATTGTCGAATCCCTGAAAATGGTTAGAATATTTGAGAGAAGAATTACTGATCGAATTCGTGTTTTGGTTACTCATTCATGTTTTTATATGGAAATCATCATTCTAATTTCCCCAAAAAAGATGATTTCATCGCACAACTCATCAGGGTCTCAATATGATCCTCTAGTAAATCATCCTATTGGAGCCTTGATGAGGTAATGATTTATTCAGGTATAGCTGTAAACCATTTGGTCGATTTACAGAGAACCACTTTCGAATAAAAATTTTTTTTTAATATTCAGAACTTCAAAACAATTTTAAAAAATGTATTGTAGTTTATGTACGTGTATTTGAAGTTTTGGTTGCAATTATTCGCACCAAACAACGTTTTATAGTTTCATTTTTGAAAAAAAAATCAAAGGTAATTTCATTTATAAGACGCATCTATATGTTTTCGTTCATTTTGAAACATTTAAATTAAAACAAACAACATTCTTGCTGCTTTTTTTCTTATAAGTGAAAGTGTACTTACGGCCGCCATTACCCGGTGCACCGGGTCGAGCCGGGCTTATAGTCGAATTGACAGCCGAAGTGTTGCTCGGCGTCTGGGCCGGTTTGGCCCCTTTGATGGGCGGAGCACCGTAAATGGGCGTAGTCACCAGCATACCAGGCTTAGCGTTTCCAATTGGCGGCGCTCGGTTTCTTGGTGTAGTGAGTTTCGGTGCCGCTGGTTTTTGATTGTTAATGGGTTTGGCGACGTTTATTCCGATCTGGCTCTGGTTAATATTCACTTGGGCCGGCTTTGCATTCGTAATTTGTGGTGGAACTCCGTATTTGCTTTGATTTATAGGTCTCTTTGGATATGCTTTCGTTATAACAGGCGGTTGGTTGTTTAAATTTGAACTGTTAATTTTTTGGCTCGGTTTTTGTTTTGTAATGGGAATAACATTTCCTAATGGGTTGGTAGTTATAAGTTTGTTTGGCCTCGCGCTAGTGACTGGTTTTGCTTGACCGGCCGTATTTGGCTTGACTTGTTTATTTGGCCTCGCAGGTCCAATAGCTGGAGGCACTTTTCCTTGCTGATAGTTAGAACCTTTAGCTTTTTTACTCGGCGATGCACTTTTAATTGCAGACGGCTTAGGTTTCCTGGCAATTTTAGCTTGTTTCGATGGATTCGCACTATTAATAGGCGACGGTTTTCCCTGGCTTGCAATTTTGGCTTTTTTGGAAGGGTTTGCACTTTTAATAGGCGACGGTTTTCTCTGGCTTGCGACTTTGGCTTTTTTGGAAGGGTTTGCACTATTTATGGGCGATGGTTTTCCTGGACTTGCAATTTTAGCTTGTTTCGATGGATTCGCACTATTAATAGGCGACGGTTTTCCCTGGCTGGCGACTTTGGCTTTTTTGGAAGGGTTTGCACTTTTAATAGGCGACGGTTTTCTCTGGCTTGCGACTTTGGCTTTTTTGGAAGGGTTTGCACTATTTATGGGCGATGGTTTTCCTGGACTTGCAATTTTAGCTTGTTTTGATGGATTCGCACTATTAATAGGCGATGGTTTTCCCTGGCTTGCGAGTTTGGCTTTTTTGGAAGGGTTTGCACTTTTAATAGGCGACGGTTTTCTCTGGCTTGCGACTTTGGCTTTTTTGGAAGGGTTTGCACTATTTATGGGCGATGGTTTTCCTGGATTTGCAATTTTAGCTTGTTTCGATGGATTCGCACTATTTATAGGCGACGGTTTTCCCTGGCTGGCGACTTTGGCTTTTTTGGAAGGGTTTGCACTATTAATAGGCGACGGTTTTCCCTGGCTGGCGACTTTGGCTTTTTTGGAAGGGTTTGCACTATTAATAGGCGACGGTTTTCCCTGGCTTGCGATTTTGGCTTTCTTGGAAGGGTTTGCACTATTTATGGGCGATGGTTTTCCTGGACTTGCAACTTTAGCTTGTTTTGATGGATTCGCACTATTTATAGGCAGCGGTTTTCCCTGGCTGGCGACTTTGGCTTTTTTGGAAGGGTTTGCACTATTAATAGGCGACGGTTTTCCCTGGCTGGCGACTTTGGCTTTTTTGGAAGGATTTGCACTATTAATAGGGGACGGTTTTCCCTGGCTTGCAATTTTGGCTTTCTTGGAAGGGTTTGCACTATTTATGGGCGATAGTTTTCCTGGACTTGCAACTTTAGCTTGTTTTGATGGATTCGCACTATTTATAGGCAGCGGTTTTCCCTGGCTGGCGACTTTGGCTTGTTTGGAAGGATTTGCACTATTAATAGGCGACGGTTTTCCCTGGCTTGCGATTTTGGCTTTTTTGGAAGGATTTGCATTATTAATAGGCGACGGTTTTCCCTGGCTTGCGACTTTGGCTTTTTTGGACGGGTTCGCATATTTTAAAGATGCTGGCGTTTTGACAGTTGCCTTTGTTGTAGTTAAAGGAGTATTCGCACCTTTCAACGGGCGTACTCCTTTCCATTTTTGAGGTTGCGACGGACCAGCTCTTTTCCATTGACTTCTTTGCAAAATTGGTTCTCGCAAGTTCCTTTTGATCTGTGCCAACCTTCTTTTTCGATTCCGTGACCTTTTATTAAAATGACCTTCAAGCATGTTTCTCGGCATGTTTTCTTCGTCGCGTTTTGAGTTCTGATCAAGTCCATTTTTCACATTGTTTTTCATTTCATTTCCAAATCTTAACTGTGAATTCGGATCAACTTTTTTCTCGGGTTTTGCTTTCAATTTCAAAGCTGCTTCATCTAAGTTTATTCCACCAGTAAATTCATCTGGTTCTATGTTTCTCCGATTTTGCCGCCCTAAAACGCTTAAAATCCTCCAGAGCACAAAATAAGAGCCTTCTTTTCCAGAGAATTTGTTCTGCGATTCTCGCCCTTCAGTCAGATATTTGTTGATTGCGTCCAGAGAAGTAATTTTCCTAAAATATTGATGTATTTAATTACAACTCTTTCCAATTATAACATGCCGAAAAATATCATAATCTAAAAAATACAACAAAAAACGTAGGCGGATCAAAAACAGATGGTGTAAATGACCCCTAAGTAGCAAAAAACACCCATAAGTACTAAACATGAGGTGCGGAGTAATAGTTTGCATTCTTTTTCAAAAAATTGTCCTGTAAACATTGTAAACAAAGAAAAGTATCAGCGCAAATCGCACATAGCAAACCATAAGTACCAATTGAATTTCGTAAAATTGAATCCAGAAATACTTTCGTACCAAGACTTTCAAAATGTCTCTTTGAATGTAAAAAAAAGTTAGCTCGACAATTAACTTATGTTTAACAAAAATTGAAAGTGTAAATCAAGGTAATTAATCTCATAGAGAGTGATTAGTAAGGGAGACGTTGAATTTCCAAGCTGGAAGTTGGTACTTACTTAAATGCCTTTACACATTGGGTGTATTTAAGTTGAGCATCAAAAATTACATACCAGATGCTCAAATTGGATAAAGTTAATCTGCCCTGATATTGAAAAAAGGAAAAGACAAACGGTTCAAATATGGATCAACGATAAATCAGCAAAAATTATTCATAAAAATTGGATTAACCAAGAATGTACGTGAAAAACCTCACTACAGCAAAACCACGGTTCTTTTTTTTCAAAATTGAGAACCGATTTAGTTTTCTACAAATTGTTGTCTGTTCAATTTTTCCAGCGTGGTTCTGTATCAAACTCGTAAAACAAAAAAATCGTTAACTTTTCAACCTCAAATCGATCACAAGATAAACCCAATGTACTTCCAATAATACGCACCGTGTATTTTTAGCTTAAGGCTAGCGTATAATTCAAAACGCGGAACTCCACGCATAATTTTTATCGACAAAAAATAATTGCTATTGCTCTTGATAGTTTTCGTTTGAATTAATAAATATTACAAGTTTTTTAATCTAAGTTGAGCAAAGTAGATACTTTTTTGTCATCAACATATGAACATATGCGTTGTTGTTTCGTCTGCTATTTTTTTTGATTGAAATGCACTAAAAGAATATTTGCTTTGCTTTTGGAAATGAAGAATAAACAAGAGAACTACTGAATTACTTTGGATGGCGGTTAAAGAGGGTTATTCTAGAAAATCTTGCAAAGTAACCTATTATGAACTTTTTCACAAAAATTTGTTCTGAGCGCCAGAAAAACAAAATGGAGATCCAAATCGACTACAGTCGCAAAGAGTTCTGAGTTTAGGTTCGGATAAAAAACTAGGTTGACCAAAATTGTAAAATAATGTTAAAAGTTTCAGGTTTTGGTTATAATCTATGCAGTTCGAGGGTTTTTTGGTGTGTTTTGGAATATTTCATTTAGTTTTGTAACTATAGTGGTCAGAACTTAATTTCTTGTTCTTTATGTCGAAATCTGGATCAATAAAGTCAATAAACTTGAGATATTTTGAGTGTTCTTTTCACATGTGTATATTTTTTGTTGTGAAAATATTATGCGGTTATAGTTTCGTCTTTTTGTTTCGACTTTCGTAACAAAAAATAACGGAATGTTTGTGCTCGGGGTGGGGTTTTTTTTGTTCAGACAAGTTTCAACTCTTTAACTAGCTAATTTTAACAATAATTTTTATCATCTAAAAGTTATTTTTGTCCTCAGCTTAGATTTGAAAAGATATTTCACCTGTGATCTTTTTTTGTAAAGTTTAAAGATAGCCAATTTGGCCAAATCGGGAAAATTAACGCGCGATATATTTTGTGCTATTAACGTACGCAGAGATTTCATCCATCTTAAAAATCATTCCAAATTGGTCAAAAGAAGCTTATTTGCCACATTAATTTGCTACTATGAGCAAAATCCATCACTTTGTAATTTATATGGCGTGTGGGGGGATGATTTCATAAAAATGCTCGGTTTAAAAAACATTCACTTTCATATAATACACTTAGTTTTTTCATGTTATTACTGCTCCATAGACCTTATGAGGCAGTCGGAACCTTTAAGGCTTCGGCCTGATACGAGCATCTTGTTAGTTTTTAACTCCTAAAATTTCATACTATCAACTTTAAGGATTTTTGCTAGGAAAAAACAGCCTTGCTTGCAACGGCAACTTATAGCGTTTCCAGTGTAGTGGTAAGTGTAGTGGTAACTTTCAAATATTTAAGAAAAAGAGAAAAAAAAAGAAAATTCTAACCGCATACTTTTTAAACAGCTGTGTATCGTCCGTATTCATGGAACACAACATACAAAATATCTCAAGTTTATTGACTCCTTTGATTAAAAATTGACAAACATAACAAAAAAATAGGCTTTAACCACTAGAATTGTAGAACAGATTGAGTTTTCCAGAACAAACCAAAAATTGTTTCTGCAAAAAATAATTAGAAATGCATAGATGATAACCACAACCTGAAAGTTTTTACATTACGAAAGCTTGAAAATTGGCACATAAATGAACATTTCAAAAAAATGGTCAACATTATTTCTTATCTGATCTATATTCTTCAATCTAGCAATCTTGCCTGCATTTTTTGCGGATTTTTTGTAGAGACTAGCAAAAAATTTTAAAATTACTGAACATAACAAAAAAAGCAAAACTTTTAAATTAAAAAATCTTGCCTTGTTCCGCAATTCTTTTCTTATGATACCTTGCTTTTTTGCTTTCAGAGAACATACGTCTAGATTTTCCATCTACAAGACTACATCAAAAATTGATGTTGCAGAGGCTTAATCACTAGTAATGAATTTGGAATCATCAACATTTCAATTAACAAGATCCAATATTAGCTGAAGCGAACTTTTCATAAGTAGCGGGATTTGAAAAAAAATATCATTTGAAAAATTCAAATCATTATTGGGGTCCTAGAACAGCAAAAATTTAAAGCTTAATTACTTTCTCCAAATTTTTTTTTTGAGTATTTTACCTTTTTATTTCCTTGCATTGCAGGCATTGCTATAGGTCGCAAAGAATTTTTCCTGGAAAAACTTTTATATTCTGATCACGAAAAGTTTCATCTTTTGATGTTTCAAATACCAGTCAAATGAAAAAGCTAAAAGGTGGCGAATTACTGCTCTAATTGACACCGCGGGCATGGCTGAAATAACTATCTGTTTGTCCAGTTTTATCTAAAAGGGCTCATTATATTTTAAAAGGCTCAAAGTTATACAGCTTTAATGTGAGATGATTTTCAATTTTTGAAACCTATGAACAGTGAGCACAATTTTGTTCTACTTGTGTTTTTTGGTAGTTTTTGAACTGTTTATTGGCTATATCTCAAATTCGCTAATTGGTTTTTAGAAATTGATTTCAAGCACAATTTGAAAACAAAATTCGTCTTTACTTTGTAGTTTGGAGAAGTTTTTTTAGTTCCTGGCACCAAAGTTTCAATAATTGATTGGTTGCTACAAGGATAGAAGTTAGTTAAATCAGAAGACCCCCTGAAGACCTCAATTTAATTTCAGAAATTCCGGAAGTAAAAAATGCTTCAAAACAATTGATAGGTTTTTGTTATTTCTAGCAACCAAGGGTTATTATATTGTAAGATCTATCAAGTTTCTTGCAAGATCTTGTAAGATAAGTTTCTTTAAAGATACCCTTTTTTTAAATTTGGCGTGATCAGATTTTAAGAATTTCTCCAGGAAAAAGTTTTTGCAACCTATAGCAGTGACTGTGCTACGTTGACTAAAAGCTAAAATTAGTTGAAAAGATAAAATACTAAAAAAAAATTATAGAAGTAATTAACCTTTAAACTCTTGCTGTTCTAGGACCGCGAATAACGATTTAAATTTTTTCAAATTATATTTTTTTCGAACCCGGCTACTTATAAAAGAGTCGCTTAAACTAATAGTGGAACTTTTACTTTGAAGTGTTGATGATTCCAAATTCAATTTTAGTGAGTAAACCTCTGCATCATCAATTTTTGATGCAGTTTTGTAGATGGAAAATTTAGAGTCATGTTCTCTGAAAGCAAAACAAGCAAGGTACCATAAGAAAAGAATTGCGGAGCAGGGCAAGATTTTTATTTTAAAAATTTCGCTGTTTTTGATGTTAAGTAGTTTTTGAAGTTTTTGCTAGTATCCACAAACAATCTGCAAAAAATGCAGGAAAGATTGCTAGGCTGAAGAATATAGATCAGATAAGAAATAAGGTTGACCAATGCTCTGAAATGTTCACTTATTTGCTAATTTTAAGCTTTACTAATGTACAAACTTTCAGGTTGTGTTTATAATCTATGCATTTCTAATTAATAATTCCAATTATTTGGATGTTTTTTTGCTTTGTTCTGGAATACTTTATCTGTTCTGCGATTCTAGTGGTTAAAACCTAATTTTTTATTGGATATGTCCATTTTTGATCAAAAGAGTCAATATGCTTGAGATATTTTGTATGTTGTGTTCACATGAATACGGTACACAGTTGTTTAAAACGTATGCGGTTGTAATTTTCTCTTTTGTTGAAATAGTTAAAAGTTACGTCCTGTAGGAACGCTATAAGTTGTCGTTGCAAGTGAAGCTCTTTTTTTTCCTACTAAAAATCATATCTAATAAGATCTTGTTTAAAAAAAGTCATATTTAGAGGAAGTTATCTTGCAAGAATCTTAAACTATTTTTCAACTTAACATCCCGTTCTCAACTAGAGCGCGTAATTTGCCATCTTTTATCATATTCATTTGAATGGAATTTGAAAAATCAAAAATTAAGTTGGCGTGATCAAAGTGTAAGGTTTTTTCC